AAGGTGGTCATTACTTTACATCATAAGTGGAAACATAATCTATATGAATGTTTAAAAAAATCACAAATGGATGACTGACATAAAGAAACAGGCGGCTCAAAAATTAAACTTGAAGACGTCTGTCATACCTGTAAATCTTCACATTTAGTGCAAGCAGCTGCAGCTCCAGCATTAGTTCCTGCTACAGAGGCTGTTGCTAACTGTGTCTTCAGTTGATTGTTCTCATTCTGAATATCTTTTAGCTGCAACTCCAATGATGCCTTTTCTTGTTCTAATGTTGCTTTTGATGCTTTTACAGCCTCTAACTCCTTTTGGATGACAGTGACCTGAGAGAGATTCACAGCGTAACAAGATACATTATTTGTTTAAGAGCATATAGTTTTATATTAGCACAAAGAATATGTACAACCCACTTGAGTCAAATAATCTAACTGTACAGTAAATCTAGTATGTAGACTATACTTTGATCAAATAGAAGCGTGACAAGTAAAAAATATATTGCAACCCCAGTTACAATGCTTTAGGAATTGCATGGCTAGCCTTATACCTATTCAGACCTAAATGTATTTTTCCCTCAAAACACCCACCTCCTGTGACTCCGCTGCATTGTCTTTTGAGGTTTCATTGGCCGCTGGTTCTGCAACCTTCTCCTTTAGCTGCTGGATTTCTGAATCCTTGTTGTAGAGTACAAGCTGGAGGTCCTCCAATTGTTTCCGAACATTCTCCAGCTCTGGGTTGGCTGTTGCATGGTCTGCACTGGTCTGAAGGACATGGTTTACAAAATAGGATCAGGATAACTATTCACCATGTAATGCTATCATTTTTCAAACTGCATATATAAACCAAGAGCATACTGAGAAATTGGAATATGTATTAAAACCCAACCTGCAATCCATTTACTGCCACTGCTTGCTGTCCTGGGCCATTCTGCTGCTGCTGCTGCTGAAAATTAACATTATAGTAAAACAATAATTGGTACTCAAACCCAATGCCTAGGACTATGTGTCAGATCTTAGTTAAAACCATTCTTAGAAACTACACAGCTATCACAGAAAACTCACCATAGTTGTTAGCTCTTGATCTTTCTTAACCATTTCATAATAGTAATAGTCTCTAGCATGGGTCATTTCAGCCAACTGCTGCTGTACATATGCCAGCTGTTGACTAATCTGTTCTGTGTTGGAACTGGTGCCCTCAGAGGTAGTGTCAGCACTATTGGCAATGGCAACACCAGCTGCCATACCTTGTTGTGCCTTCAGAACTGTCAAAGTGTCAAAGGAAAGTATGAGAGAGACAAGCCATTATAGTTGGGGGAGGGGGGGATATTTTTAACACTGCTAGTTAATTACTATGTTTAACAATATCTCCCTTTATCACTGCATTGATGTGACAGTTACTCGTACTGTTTAAAAAAAGTTTAACAAAACACAGATCATGTATGGAGCACTATCAATAAAAGCAAAACGTGAACAATTACCTGTATTTTCGTCATGAAGCTGTTGGACTTTTGAGGTGAGGCTCTCCTTCTCAGAGCCTATTTGCTCTAAATCACTTTGGAATTTACTCAGCTGCTCCCTCAAGTGAGTCATTTCCGCATCCTGATCGCGAATAATGTCTTTATATTTTTTCACTTCTGCTGGACTGACTTCTGTGCTTGTGCCATTTACTAACTGTGGGGTCACTGCTCGCAAAGCGGACACTGAGAATAAGGAAAAAGAAATGGATTGGCTATCTTTTTTTTCTTTTTTTCTTTATGTAGCAGATTAGCTGATGAAAATCATACACCCAGAAAAAAAAACCAAAAAAACAATAAGCAATGAAAACTATATAAACTCAACTGATCAGTCAGATTAAAAGGACTGTCTGGATGAGTATAGGCTACCAGGGGAAAAAGTGAATGAACGGCAGTTTCATAGTGGTACATGCATTGGAAAATATGTTGCCTTTGTGAGTAACTGTGGCATTAGGGGTATACTTATATATACCAGGAATTTCAGTAATTTTTGTGTTTGTTCTATAAAGTAACAACTGCATAAAAAAATAAAGAAAAAGAAATACACATACATCCAAATGCCATGATGTGCCCACACACTGTATGCATTTTTTGCAAGGTAAATGTGGTTAGTATAATGAATTACTTAAATTATTGGTCTGTTTTAGATGCTTTCTGTATTGCTGAATCATTCATAACGCACCAAGATTAGTATATATTAAAACTATACCACAGAGCACAAATGTCACCATATGATGACACTAAAGTATCAAGAATATAAGACATAATAATGTATATTTAGCAATGGTACTCCAAAACAAGTACCATTGTAGAATAAAGACATTTCAAAAGAATAGAGAAAAATGCCAAAACTTCAAAATAGCTTCTTTTTTCTTTTTTCTTATCAAGGAGGGAAGGGGGGGGGGGGATCACCTTACTATCACAATGACTTTCACAAAGGAAAAAATTGGGTACACAAAAGCCTACTTTGGTGGTTCAGCTGACACAATCAATAATTTGACCGATTTCTCACCTTCCAGGCTTTTGAAAAGTCGGCAGAATTCATGATCAAACACAAGGTCGGAAGATTGTTTGGCTGACAGCTGCGGAGATTTGGCTGCTTTTGTATAGGCTTCAGTCCTGGATATATTGCTCAACTTGTCGCTGAAGTTTTCTGCACCGATGCGATCACTTACAAGCTGTCGAAGACTCTCCTGGGAGAAATTACTGCTACTCCCGTCATTGAACTGGCCACATAAGCCCAGTACGAAAGCACAAAGGCCTTGACACACTAACTCCAACTCATCATGTTCATTTGCTTGGACCTGTAAAGTAGATTTTCAAGATCATATCAGAAATACCTGAAATCTATCTACTGGATATTATATTCTTTCAGCATGTAATATTACTAGAAACCAAGAAAAATAGTCACTATACATAAGTAAGTAGTGCACACTTCAAAATTTCTACACTAGACTAATAGTACACAATTCCTGAGAGACTAACATGGGCGGTAAGATATGGCACAGCTGTGGGTATGGAGAGGAAATTTTGTACAGCAACAGGACAGTGTGACAGCCAGGTAGAGAGGAGCATGAGGATGCCCAGTCGTGTTGGTATCTTTGTTCCTGCCTGCAGGATGGATGTGCACTGCTGCATTAAGGACACTGGGGGACTCCCAACACTGGTTGCCAGCTGGACTCTCAACATGTTTTCCTATAATAGAAAAAAAAAAATTATACAGCATGTATATATATATATATATATATATATATATATATATATATATATATATATATATATATATATATATATATATATATATATATATATATATATATATATATATATATGATATTCCAAATTAAAGAAAGATATAAAGTAATATCACCACATATATATATCAAATGCATATACACAGAACCATGAAGGGATGGAATTAAAGAACAGTTGGAAAAATGGAGGAAACCAATAATGGAAAAAGAATAAAAGATAAGCTGAAAGAATAATGAATACCTAAATTTCAATAATAAACAAGATCTTGAAAGCTAGCTGCGAGGAGAAAGACTGAAAGAGTGAAAACATCCAAGAACCTGGATTCAAGAGTACGAAGAGATGTTGAAATGGATGAGGAAATAATGCAAAACATTCACAAGAAGAACCTGGATACCAAGGAAACACAGATGTTCAGTAGAAGTGCAGAGTGACAGAGCTGGACATAAAAACAAACGAAAGGATTACAAAAACAATGAAAGTTGAGGAGATAGAGAAAGTACAAGAGAGGAGGCTGCAGTGCTATTGTCATGTGATGAGAAGAAATGATTGTTATGTTAGTAGATGAGTGATGGACAAGGAGGTGGAAGGAAAATGAAAAATTGGAAGACCAAAATGAAGATAGCTAGAAATCATTAGACTGGAGAAATGCCTATCTGGACAATAAGTGAGAAATTGTGCTGCATGGAAATCTTGTCCAATCCACAGACCCCATGCAGAAGTGGGAGCAGATGTCACTAAAAGAAGATATCTAGTGAACCAGATGTATAAAAAAAGGAATTACATTGCATTCATAAAAATAGAAACAAGTAAAAAGGTTCTTAGTACCATTCTCTCTCTCTCTCTCTCTCTCTCTCTCTCTCTCTCTCTCTCTCTCTCTCTCTCTCTCTCTCTCTCTCTCTCTCTCTCTCTCTCTTTCTCTGACTCTCTCTCTTTCTCTGACTTTCTCTCTTTCTCTGACTCTCTCTCTTTCTCTGACTCTCTCTCTTTCTCTGACTCTCTCTCTTTCTCTGACTCTCTCTCTTTCTCTGACTCTCTCTCTTTCTCTGACTCTCTCTCTTTCTCTCACTCACACTCTCACACTCTCTCACTCACACTCTCACACTCTCTCACTATCACACTCTCACACTCTCTCACTATCACACTCTCACACTCTCTCCCTCTCTCTCACTCACACACAAACACATACACACATATACCCTACCAACCTCTCACATGCGCCCATCCACCCACCAAAGCATGAACACAACCACCCACAGATGTATGCATCCACTCCTACATTCATACCCACACACACACACATGCACCCCTCCTCATACACACACATCCACACCCACATGAAGACAGCTTCCACATCCCTCTGTAGAAATATCCACTTACCTTCTGGGCAATGTTCTCGACAAGGGAATGGCTCAGGGCAACCGCAGCAAACCAATTTGAAACGGGATCGAGGGAAAAGAGCCCACTGCATAGGAGTTGGCCAGCAGTTACAGAATTGGCTGGTAATGTTGAGAAATAAAAGGGAAAGAAAAGGGGGTTTTAGTAACAACTCTCACGGTAAAGTGAAGTACAAATATCTAGTTTAATGCCTGACAAAGTAAATGAATGAAATATTTCCTTCTCATTACTATTGTTTGAGAAAAACTGAAGAAATAATAGAATAACTCAAACTATTATCAAGAAATATTTCCACAGCTACTGATTCAAAAAAAGAAAAGAAAAGAAAAAAAGCATA